AGGAGAGGAGAGGAGAGGAGAGGAGAGGAGAGGAGAGGAGAGGAGAGGAGAGGAGAGGAGAGGAGAGGAGAGGAGAGGAGAGGAGAGGAGAGGAGAGGAGAGGAGAGGAGAGGAGAGGAGAGGAGAGGAGAGGAGAGGAGAGGAGAGGAGAGGAGAGGAGAGGAGAGGAGAGGAGAGGAGAGGAGAGGAGAGGAGAGGAGAGGAGAGGAGAGGAGAGGAGAGGAGAGGAGAGGAGAGGAGAGGAGAGGAGAGGAGAGGAGAGAGCCTGGCCAGGAACACATGGAGAGATGGGGGAGGGGATAGAATGGGCAGGGAGAGAAGGAACAGAGAGAGTAAGAGAGTAAGAGATCAAGGATGGGGCCAACAGCCCCTTTTATAGTAAGCCAAAATGCCTGGCTGTTCCCAGGTAACTGTGGGGCAGAGCTCAGAAGGATGCTAACAGACTGAACCTCTGAAACTGTAAGCCAGCCCCAATTAAATGCTATCCTTTATAAGAGTTGCCTTGGTCATGGTGTCTCTTCACAGCAATGGAAACCCTGAGACACACAGTCAGAATGGTCAAGATTAAAATAAATTACATCAACTGCTGGGGCACATTGATTCATTGCTGGTGGGAATACAAACTGGTACAGTCACTATCAAAATCAGTGTGAAGGTTCAAAGGGCTCAAAATAGATTCACCACAGTATCTCTGTGTCTTACTACAGAGGTACCTGTCCATCCATGCTCATTGCTGCTATAGTCATAATAGCCAGAAACTGGCAACAGCCAAGATGTCCATCAACTGATGAACAGATAATGAAAGTTTACACGATAGAATTATATGTTAATAAAAATGAAATTTGTAAGTAAATGGATGGAGCTAAAAACAAATCATCCTTGGTTAGGTAACCCAGACCCCCCCCCCAAAAAAAAAACCACATACCTTATATGTTGATGTCATCCTTTAAGATTTTGATATGTGTACTATAATCCACATAACCACAGATCTTAGGAACCTAATGTCTTTAAAGCATACTTTTTTTAAGGTTGATTGTGTGCCCTTCTCCAGCCTTGAGCAGGCAGGAAAGACCTTGTGACCTACTTACTTGAGACAGAATCCGGCTGAAACAAAGGATGGGTTAGGTGGGCCTCTTCCTATATATACAAGAGCTGAATACTAAACTTTGAGCCTTGATAGAAGGCTTTGTCTTGGTTCCATGTTTCTTTCACCTCTCTATCTCCTCTATCTCCTTTTCATTTTCAGTCAACCCAGTTCGTCTGTGGCCACTGGAAGGCTACATCATTGCATGCATGTGAGTACACTGTAGCTGTCCTCAGACACACCAGAAAAGGGCATGGATCCCATTACAGATGATTATGAACCACCATGTGGTTGCTGGGAATTGAACTTAGGACCTCTGGAAGAGCGGTCAGTGCTCTTAGCCACTGAGCCATCTCTCCAGCCCAGATTCTAATGTCTCAGTCAGTGTTCTAGTGCTGTCAAGAAACACTATGACCATAGCAACTCTTATAAAAAGAAAGCATTTAATTAGGGCTTCCTTATAGTTTCAGAGGTTTAGTCCATTGTCCTCATGGTGGGGAGCATGATGACACACAAACATGGTAGCTGAGAGTTCTATATCCAGATCTGAAGGCAGCAGGAGGTGAGATCCATTGGGCCCAGCTTAGGCTTCTGAAACCTCAATACACCCCCAGTGACATATTTCTTCCAACAAGGCCACACCTCCTAATCCTTCTAGGTAGTCCTACCCCAGATGACTAAGCACTAAAATACATGAGCCTATGAAAGCCATTCTTGCCCAAATCATCACACCCAGTAAGGGACCAAGGGTGGAAAAGGGAATCTTTCCAGAAAGGGAATAGAGAGTATAGTGTTATGAAGGGATAAAGGGGACACTAGAACAGGAAGATTACAGGGAATTTGGATGGGAGCAGGGTAGAGGAAGGAATGTGGAGAGGGACAACTAATATTAAAGTCCTTTTGAAAGGCCATATGAAAATCTACTATTATAGAAGCTTCCTAAAATATATACATATTAAAAGCAATATAAATGGAACCCTCATATAATGAAGTAGGCAATACACCAAGTAGACATCATATACCCCCAAATAAAACCTGCAACCCCAGGAGTGGGTTTCGTCAGTTTAGGTTATTGGCCAAAAGGGGTTCTGCATGCATGTCTGTCTGAGGGTGTCAGACTCCCTGGAGCTGAAGCTGCAGACAGCTGTGAGCTGCCATGTGGGTGCTGGAAACTCAATTCAGGTCCTCTGAAAGACCAGCAAGCACTTCCAACCGCTGAGCCATCTCTCTAGTCCTTGATTTTGTTTTTTTTTTTTAAGAGAAAGAAAAAACACGAAGTTGCAGGGGGACAGAAATTCATATGATAAAATATACTGTATGAAAAAAAAATAAGAACCTTTGAAACATCTTTGGAATACTAAGTACATATAATGACATACTCCTTTCACTACGCTAACTAGATCATGCGAGGTACTTACCTATTCTCCTTTATGAAACATCTCAAGATATTTCATATCTTCAGGAAATATCAGAAAGTTTTCAAAACTTTGGGGCAAGGATTCACAAATTAATTTAGCCCTATTAACTGGAGATCAACTATTTATTACTTGCCCTACTGGACTTGGAGTTACAAGCAGTTTGTAAGCCACTAGAGATGGGGGCTGGGAATCAAACCTAGGTCTTGTGAAGAGCCACGAGAGTTCCTAACAGCTGAGCTATCTCAGCAGCCCTAAGAGCAACCTTTCAAGTGGTTTCTTCCTGTGATGTACTGGAGTCGGTTCCAGGTACAATCTTATGACAATCTTGTTCTTTTTTTTTTTTAAGTATTATAAAATTGATGAGAAGACATCCAAGGTAGAGGTGTTCTTCCAGAACACCAGAGTCGTATTCCAAATCCCACACCGTGCAGCTCACCACTGCCTATAACTCCAGCTCCTGACACCTGAACACGAGCGCGCATACTCACACACAGCCATACACACATATACATACACATGCGTTAAAACTAATAAAAACGTATTTCAGAAAGCCTTGTCTTCCATTTAAAAAAAAAAAGATTTCCAAGGTAAAATGGTGGATTAGAAGTTTCCTTCATGTGATTGAGAAAGAAGAGAGAAAAAAGGGGGGAGCAAAGAAATCGAGAAAGCAGTCAGGACAACCGACAAGCATGGACTAGAGATGCTATGAGCATGAAGAGTATGAAAAACTGGCTACAGCTCCAACCAGCTCCCAGGCCCCTGGGAGCATGAAACCGGAAGCCATGACCACAGGTTGATTCAGGAAGCCCTGTGACAAAAGTTTGCCAGGCCTAACCCCCAAAACCAAAACTCACAGTTCTTACAAATTTTATGATGTAAACAGTCTCAACAGCAACAAGGCCTCGCAGAGAGACAGCTAGAGTGTGCCATATATTACCTTTGTTTTACTGTAACTGTAAACTTAACATCATTTCATTTTAAGTAATGGTTGCACTAAACAAGAGATCGCCAACAACATCATTCTTCCAAAGGCCTCTGGTGAGCTATTACCTACTATTTTTATATAGCACACCGTTACATGTTGCTCCTCGGGAAAATTAAAAATATTTTGAGCAAATTAAATAAACGAAACTAATAAATCACCTGTCTCAGATGTCTGCCGAGTTCAGAGTGCCGACTTCTCAGGCAATTCTACTTTAGAAATGCCGGGTGAGCTGGCTATGTTCATGAAGCGGTGTTGTGATTTAGGTTTGTGTTACAAACGGACACCAGAGAGGCTGACGTAGGAAAGACCTCAAGTTCTAAGGCTAGCCTAAGCTATATAGGCTATTTAGCTATAAGACTGCCTGTTAAAAGCTTAGGAATTGAAAATTGTGTGTGTGTGTGTGTGTGTGTGTGTGTGGCGGGGGGGGGTTGTTTGTTTTGTTCTATTTTGTTTTGAGGTTTGCACCGTGGTTTATATTCTTTTTCAAAGTAGTACTTCATAGCCTAGCCAGACAGTCTTACCGTGCATAAACTGATAGAAATAACAATTTAATTGCTAATGAGAGAAAACCGTCTAGGGAGCTGCTTGTCAAAGAAAAACTAAAGTGTGCGGGAAGCTGGGAGGCCGGCCGGCAATTCCACCCTCCTCCCTACTGCAAATGCCTCTATCAGTAGTCAAGTAAGTCAACGGGTCCCTCTCTCACTTCTCTTCCCTCCCTTTCTCCTCTCTAGCCCTCCGACTCTAGCTCACAGAATCGACAAGATAGACAGAATGGTTCTAAGAATTCTTCAAACCACAATGTTCGGATTCGTTTAAGCGGCAGTGCCGGTGCTTTTACTCGGATCCAAAGCAGCTTTAGTGCGGCATTAGCTTCCAATGCAGAGTCTACATAGAATCTCCCTGCCAAAATTAGCATCACCAGTAGTCGTGGCCGAGTGGTTAAGGCGATGGACTAGAAATCCATTGGGGTCTCCCCGCGCAGGTTCGAATCCTGCCGACTACGGGCAGTGGGATTACTTTTGCTACAGAATAGTTTTGGATCTTCAGCTCTCCCCGACCTTCCCGGGGTAATTTGAGAAACACACAGCCGGCTGAAGCGACCTGGGGTCGCGTTAGGGTGGAAAGCGACGCTGTTTGTGGTCAGGCGCCGGAGCGGAGCGCGAGAGGTGAAGGGCAAGACGGGCCCACAGACTGCGTGGACGCCTAGGGAAGCGCGCCGGACACCTAGGACCCACGGAAACCATCGGTGGGGGCCGACCTCGGCACGTCCACAGGCCGCCGGGACCCCCCTGCCCCCGCGAGTGCGCGCCCGTCAGCGCTGCGGCGGCGCGCGCGCCCCGACTCGACCGGCAATTTGCGCACGCGCGAAGGATTGTGGGACCCGATCGCGGGCGCGACGGTTTCTCGCGTTGCCGTGGAAACCACCCGCCAGCCAGGCTCCAGAGGGAAAGACGAGTCTGTTCAAGATGGCGAAGGACCTGGACGAGCTTCTGGATGAAGTCGAGACCAAGTTCTGCAGACTCGACCCCCTGAGGCTGGACCTGGGTGAGCGGCCCAAAGGCGGCGGCGGCACGCACAGCGGCGACCGGAACGGAGCCCAGGAGAAAGAGACTCTCAGGTTAACGCGGGCGGGTGGACGGTTCTGCTACAGCCCTGCTCGGGGCCCGAAGCCGCCCTCTGCCGGCGCGCGCCGCCGCGGCCTGGGCTGCTGTCCACCTTAGTCCTCGCCCTCGGCAGCCCTCCCGTCACGGCTCAGACCCCGACCCTGAGCGAGCCTGAGGGAGCTGAGACCCTTACCTGACAGCCCTAAGCTGACGTGGATCCGGGGTGTCCCTCCCTGAGACACGACAGGGCCAGCTGACCAGACCCAGAGCGTTCTCATCGCTGAGGTGCCTTGACTGCAAACGCCTGCCTCTCAAGCCGTTACCAGGCAACCCTTAGGCCAGCTGTTAGAAAACCATTCCATTTTATTGTCTGATTTGTTTAAACTCGAGGAGTTAGATGAGTAGATTTAATTATTGAGAGTATCCATCGTATGTATCTGAATTAAATAGCTCACTTGCCTGCCATTCCCCATGTCTCCAAGTAAAGGGACCCAGCAAACGTCCTATTATATCCAGGTCGAAACTTAAGGACACTTAAATCTTTGGGGATTGGAACAACAACAAAATGCAGGCAGGCATCGTTGCATTATCCTTTTAAGTGAGAATTTAGGATCAGCCATAACTCCTGCTAGAATCTTTTGGAAGTTTGCCACTTGCCTAAAACATTTGGGAAAGGCTGGTAGAATCACAGTGTTAGCTTTGCATCTCTGGTTAGAGCCGGTGTGGTTTCTCAGTATTATGTAACTCGACAAACTTAACCTACCATCATGACATTTGTTTATAACAATTCAATTTGGGGACGATAGAAGCATTGAAAAGATTCTAAAAGAGTTCAAAATAGAATTTTCAAAGCATTTATTAAAAAATTGACAATTAGCTGGAAGTGGGAGTGCACGCCTTTCAACTCAGGAGGCAGAGGCAGGTAGTCTCTGAGTTCGAAGCCAGCCTGGTCTACAGAGTGAGGTCCAGGACAGCCAGGGCTACACAGAGAAATCCTGTCTCAAAAAACCAAAAATTAAAAATAAAAATAGACAAAGTAAAGTGACAGATTTCACTTGACCACCCCATTTGGCTGAATGTTTATGAAAATAGTCTTCCATTAATGTATAAGTTATTACTTTGCAGTGTTTGCTTTTTGTTTCGGTTTGGTTTTGTTCCTTTATTGCTGGAGGGAATTTGTCAGGCCTTTTCATCTTGGAATCAGCATAAAGAAGCTGAGACTGTCTTGGAGCAGGCAACTCTACACTGAAGGGATGGCCATTTATGCGGCTCTTCCCCAGCCATGTGGTCTTTCGTGCCTGTTTCTGTACTGCTAGAATCCATCCAAATGCTCCCCATCCTCACCCGCCCAGGCACATTTATAATACCTAAAGTGAATCCGAACTGCTATCGTTTGTGTTCAAACTTTTTGTCAGGCACAACGGTTAGAAGTTGTGCAAAAGGCATCAACAAATACCCTAAGCCAAGTTTTAAATACAGTTCCTTTCTGGTATGGAATGTCATCACTAAAGTTTTGCACTGAGGCAAAGGAAACCTTTTATGAGTTTTTTAACAGACTACCTGCTGACTGCATGGCTTAACCTTTATCTTTTACGAATGAAAATGCTGAAATTGACTCAAGTGATAGCTTTGTAAATAATACAATAAGTGGCCATACTACATCTGGATACCAGAAATGGCTGTAATATAAATGGTAAATGTATGCAATTTGTTGAAGTATTCAAAATGATAAAAAAAAAAAAAACATCAATGGTTGTGTGTTCTTTTAAAGACCAGCATGGGTTGAACGAAATACTGCAATAGTAATAAAACAGTCCAGGATGATAAAGATAATACCACCTCCTAGATGATAGCTGTAATAATAACAGCTAATGTTTACCTAGTCTTTTCTCTGTGCTAAGTCCTCAAAATGGGTTGCTCCTATCACCCAATGAGGTGAATGGTGTTATCTCTTCATTCACCAAATCTAGGTGGGCCTGATAGCATTGGTCTAAGATTGAGTTTGAGGCTCAGCTGAGTAATTTAGTAAGACCAGGTTTTAAAACTAAATAATCATCATCATCTTAAGAATTCATCTGTATCAAAGTAAGCCTGATCTACAGAGTGATTTTCAGGAGAGCCAAGGCTACAAAGAGAAACTATGTCTTGAAAAAAAAAAATGCACCTGCCTCTTGAACTTCTTGAATTATATGAGAAAAGAGCGTAGACAGTCTGTCATCAAAACCAAAGGAGGGATCTCATGAGAGCATCCCTATTGTTGGGGCCCAATGGGACACACTGTTAATCCCAGACACAGAGGCAGACTCATCTTTGGGTGCTAGGCCACCCAGGGTTGGAACTGAGAAGCCTGAAAGTAATAATTTGAGGTAAGAACTCACTGTAGTCAACAGATGTAGAAATGAAGCCAGAGATAGAACATTATGCCTGAAAACAATTTGAAAGATACTGTTTTAATAGGTAAAGTATTGACATTCAGAGAAATTAAATCTTTTCAACTAGGTCAGCATTTCTAGACTAGTGATGATTTTGCAATGACAAGAGAAGTTCTTTTGGTTATCATAACTGGAAAAAAGTAAACTGTAGGCATCTGTCAGGTAGATAGGAAACCGGTAAAATAGCCTAGAAAGTCCAATAGTGCCTTCTCTCAATATACAGGACTTATCTGACCCCAAATGTCAGTAAGATTGAGGAAACCGTGGGTGTTACTGATACTAAATGACGGATGTAGGCTATTCCAGTTGTAAGAATGAGTGGCAGCTTCAAGGACAAGTTTATACAGTGATGGAAGTAGTAGTAGTTGTTTGTTTAGAGGAAGTCTTTAGCATAGTTCTAAAACAAAGGAAAATGCCAGTGTAGACAGTGAAAGGCATGAAGGATAAAAGTGAGAGAAGGGGCACCCAAGGAGGCAAAGCCTGGAAGTCATTCTATCAACCATTTGGTATCAGAGATACATTCCTAATGTTAGGATTTCAGAGTAAATACACTTCTAAAGAATTTGAACCAAAAAAAAAAAATCTTCTAAAACAATCCATAAAATTGTCCAGTGAATTTCTGAAGTTGAGTGACAGAGTCCACAACATAACAACTATAGGAACAGTTGTCCCATAACATATATGTAAACTGCCCTTTATCTGTGTGGCCTTGTACAAGCTTCTGGGTCTCTCAGTGCCCATTCTTCACCTAAAAATGGAGGTAATAAAAGCCTTAGGACAGTGTCTGCCTGACAGTAAATACTTGTTTTTTTGGAGCAGTGGCAGGAGGCTGGGCAATGCTGGCTGCACATTACAACTCAGGACTTTGTCCATACTAAACAAGTACTCTACCAGTGTACTATGTCCCCAACTCAGTGTTGTTTTAAATAAATGGTCTAGGTGGCAGTAAACCTGGTGACTTCCCCTGAAGAACTTGAAGTAGTCGAACTAGTATGACATGTAGCAGTGGATCTTGACTTTGGGAAGGGGTTTTTTTCTCTTTTGAGTCATTTGCTGACACAAGCTTTGGCTCCGATAAAAAAAAAGATAGGTTGTTTGACTTCAACCTTTATGGTATTAGAATTTATTTATAACCTATATATTTTATAGTCTCTAAGTGCTTGACATAATTTAGAAAATACATCCCATTTTTTTCTTTAATATAATACATTGGCTTAAATATCTTAACTGCATAATAGTAAGATACATACGTGATTTTGTACCAATATGCTATATGTTTGTTTCAACAAACAGCTTATTTCTATGAGTATAGTTGAAGTCTTCCATGTCAAGGATCTCAGTGCCTCAGAGCCATAGCACGGCAAAGCCTTCCCCAGGTCAGGCTTGTTTACAAACAGTTCATCTTTAGTTAAAGCCAGCATATACAGAACTATCAATGAACAGCAGCCTCCTTCTCCCCCTCATACTGTTTGTAATAAGCAGTGAGTTTCCACGTTGATGTTATGTCTCTATCAGAGCACATACTCCACCTGATCCCAACCTCTCTGTGTGTGGATCTGTCATTTCCTCATTCCCCAGCTGTTCCAGTTAAGTCAATCCCAAAGCCCTACTGGTTGTTACATAGGTCCATACCTGAAAAGCATCCTATGCTGTCACTCTAGCAGTGACACTTAAACTTGTGGTACATCTGTTCTTAAGGTCCAGGTGAGGGTTCATTATTGTGTGCACATGTTTTCTTTTCAGATCAACAGAAACATTTAAAAAAGAAGATGATCTTGACAGTCTTATTAATGAAATATTCGAGGAGCCTAACTTTGACAAAAAGTCTTTTGTAAGTCACATAAATGTACATTATTTAAGAATTAAATAGCTGTATTTAAACTAGTCTTAAAAGTGAAGGCACAGTAACCATCTGGGTGTGATCCTTTGAATACTAAGAAGTACAGGTAAAGAGATGATTCCACTTTAAAAATTGTGGAGGAATAAAATATTAGAAACTGTACATTTCTGTTAACTCGTCAGTGAGTAAGACTTTGAAAAGCTGTTGTGAGAGAAGTCGGCTCACAGATCACGTCGGTCACTTAGATTCATGGTAGTGTCTAAGAACACCTTAACACTTCGCTCTGTGTTCCCTCTAGACTTTTTAATTGGCATACTAGCCCTTCCTTCCTCCCTCCTCATCCCATCACCCACTGCCAACCTGCTTGAACTTTCTACCTCTAGCCTTCCCACTTCTGGTTTTTATATCACCTTTGTTTTAATACCTGCTCTATTAAGACATTACCCTGCCCTGATGGCCCTTTTGTTCTTTTCTGGCTTGTACAGGTACTCCAAGTGACTTCTTTGTGATTCTGAGTCACAAATAGTGTCTCACTATTTAGTGCAAGATGTTCTTGAATTTGAATCAGTGATCCTCTGTATCAGCCTTCGGGGTGGTAGAATTATAGGCATACACCATCATGTTCAACTGGACGTTTTTAAATAAATAAAAATTGAAAATATAATTTAAGACCTCTACAAATCATACTGCACTGCCTTCCTTCACAAAGATAACCTCTATCCTTTCTATCTACACATAGGCTTAAATTTCTTAAATACAGTAAGGTACTTATTTAAATTTGTACCTATAAACTATATTTTTGTCTTAACAAACTTAGCATATTTCTGAAGGTTTAAAGTCCTGATTTTTCAGCTGGAAAAGGGAGAGAGTAGGTCTATATAAAATGTTTATCAGATAAAGAAAGCAATAACCCGAGTAACAGCCATTTCCACATTGTCAGGAGGGGCATCTGGTGTGTCCTGGAAGTACTGCTCTTCATCCCAACTTCCTAAACCCCAGGAATCAGCAACAAATGTTGCAGGGTGTGCCAGCTAGAAGTGGAAATTATGATTGTATATAATATAAAAGACACGCTCCTCAAGTGAAAAAGTTCTTATGTGCATTATTGAAGTTTTTACACATGCATCAAAATACTTTCCTATTTAACATCAAATAAAAATTAAGAGAAATGATAAATGAAATATTTTTGCCTTTTAAACTTCCTCGAGCACTAGGTGAACTGAAGGCATGCCTGTGCGTAGTTTTAAATGCCCTTTCCCTGTCTAGCTTCCTTTTGCTGGCGGTGGTCCTAGTATGTGGTTGGTTTATGATGTTTGATACTTTATACCAGTTAACACTTAATAAATGCTTACTAATGATGGTGATGTTATTAGAACCTATAGGAACTACTGTGTGGTTATGACTAGGTAGCTCAACATTTTCCATGGTCATAAATTGCTTTATACCATTATATTTGGTCAAAATTAATAATCCTGAAGTTACCCAGGAATTAATTTTTAGTTTAGATGAGTACCATTCATGGCCTTTAAAAATGAGCCTGGGTTTTTTTTCCCCTTCTCAATTAAATTTCTCCAGAATGAAGTTTTAAATAGCAGGCCCTTCACATTAAATCACTGAATCCTGGTATTAACTGAAGAGGTATAAAGTAACTCTAAATCATAGCATGCAGAACAGCAGCAGATCAATTTCTTGGGCTGAAAACACTGTAATTTGCAAATTCCTCAGGGATCTCTCCTTCCTCCTGCCATCAAAAGGTTTTGATCACTGTTTTGGGTTTCCAGACAGGATATCACCAAATGTCTTATTTATGTCATTTTAAAATATTACTATTATAAGATAGAGAGTTACAGTTCTCTAAGCCTTTGTCCTTTTGTTTTTGTTTGCTTCTTTGTTTAGCAAAAATTTAAATCTAAATCTTCAAGTAACACATCTGTCAGAGCTCCCATTCAAGGCCTCAGTAAAAGGTAAGCTGAGATTGCTTTGGGAATTGTACACAGAGTAGGTAAATGCCTTAAGGATAGGCTAGTAGATTCTGTTACCATTTCAACAGCAGTGACATTGAAGAACAAAGCCCTGGTTGGCTTTCAGACAAGAGACCACTAGCAATATCTGGAGTGTGTTTAGGATCTATGACCCTTTTAGTGTAAAGGAAATTAAATAGGAATTATTGCTATTGTAAATAATTTTCTGCTCTGTTAAAAAAAGTGTGAATGGTTTCTCAAAATTAATGATCTGTTACATGCTTTAGTGTTTACTTTATTCCTTACATTATTGGCACACATTTTTCTGTGACTCATTTTAACTCCTTGAGTGTTCCTGATGCAGGTTGTATCCTATAGAGAGTGATAAATATCTCCTCCTTGAAATAGTTGGCTTGCTAGGAAAGCATATAATATGATCACAAGAACATAGACTCATCAAGACCAAACTAACTTCTCATGTTTCTTTTTTTGTTGTTATTGTAATTTCATTTTTCTCCATCTGCTGAACATGTCTAGTTGCAGTCCAGTGTATCTCAGTGGGAGCGCCGTTCCATGTGGGATTGGAACAAGTACTTCACAGAGGTAGGATGTGGGAAATGTAGTGTACTTTCTTACTGGGATGCCTTGACATCAGTCTGCTTTATAATGAGAGCTGGGAGCTGTGTGTTGTATTAAACAGTCTAAAGATGCTTTGTTGACTCATTTAGTATTCTTGGGAGGTAACTGTTAAAAGGCTGAGCTGTGCAGGTGGCAGATGCCTGCAATCCTAGCACATGGGAGTCTAGGGCTGGATGATGGCTACAAATTCAAGACCAGGCCAGTGAGCCACACAGCAAGACCTGTATTTAAAAAGGGAAAAAAAGCTATAATGTTGGATATGTATTGTTCATTGACTTGATGCCTTTTTCTGAGCCCCACCCAGGTTTTTACAGAGCACCAGGAGAGTGCTTTCTTCCAAGTTATGGAAAGAATGGCTTGCATGGGTAAATGCAGCTGTGTCAGATGTGATGCCTTTGCCTCACTGATGTGGCCAGAAAATATAAGAGGCTGAAGGTCTTCATTAACCAGAGTTCTTTAGTATAGTCTCTTGACTTTACATGTTTCTAAAATGGAAACCTGTCATTTCTTCTCTCTTCCCTCACCCTTCAAGACCCTGCTCTCTTGTTCAGTTCTTTTTAGGCAGTCTTAAGAGTCATGATACCACTCACTGCAAACCCATATCACTTCTTGTTTTTTTAATTCATTTTATTTTAGTTTATATTGTTGATTCTGTAACAGTCTATTCATACCATATCACTTCTAGTACATTCCATTACCATTTTCACGGTTTGGGAGAAAAGTGTAACAAGTTGTTGTACTACTGTGCTGTGCTGCTCTTGGGTCTGTTGTTAGCAGAGGTCCAGTTACCTACATTATTCTCATCTTTTCCCCAGTTCCTAAATACTTTTTTATTTATGCTCATTTTTAAGAAGAAAAGACTATATTATGTTATTGTTTATTGAGCACATTTCTGGAGAGTTGTAATATTAAATAATAGAAGTGGGCCAAAATAGACACTGCTGGGGGATTGGTAGTACCAGCTTGGATTCTTGGAGACCAGAAAGGCAAAGCCCAAAGTGAAATTGGGAGCCTTGAAAACTGGCTGTTGCCTTCTGAATATAAGAACTGGAGGCAGTTGAATCACCATGTCCTGAGGCCTAACTCAGCAAAGAATTGAAGATGCAAACTGGTCTTAGAGGCAGCTATAGTCTTGCTGTCTGTCCTCAATTACCTAGGTCAATCCCATTGGACTCAGTCATTTCAGAGCTATGACACCTCTAAGGTGACTTCTGTCAAGTTCCCAGGAACGACAGCAGCAATTTCTGCTATCATCCACTTGCAGCGTCTCTGAACCTCATACACATCCAGCAGAGTTGTCCACTTCAATTTTAAACCTCCGACTGTCCACGCTCAAGAGCTTGGTCTCCTTTCCTCTAGCTCCTTCCCCTGAGGCATGTGCTGTTTACACTAGAACACGTGTACATTTTCCTGCCTGAGCACCTTAGCATTTGTCCCCTGTCTAGAGTGGTGCTCCTTCCTAATGCATGCCCCCCTTGCCTTATGTGCTTTACTCACACTACAGATTCATTTCCTCATTCCATTTTAACTTCTTCTTTTAAATGCTTTGAATGCACATCCAGAGCATGTGCTAGCTGATCAAAACAAAGTGCCCAGTAAGGAAGCAGGTAGAAAGGTAAATGACTACATGCAGAGCCTGAAGAGGAGCTCTGATTATAGCATTCCTGTGCCCCACGTCAACCCTTAAGGACTATTCTAAAGCTTTGCTCAGTGTTCTTGCCTATAAAAACCAAACATACTTTTTTCGGATATCATGAAACCTTTCACAGCACCATAAGAAAAAAAAAAAAAAAAAGTCACGTGGACTGCAGGATGACTTGGAATCTGGGGATTAATGTAGAAGGGGATGCCAGATGAGTCGTTAGAGTTATAGTAATCACAGTCTAGGGAAAAGAGAAAGGTAGCCATGACTTGGGTGTGAATGGTTCTAAGGAATATAAGATTGAAAGAATTTGAAGAGTAAATGGTCTTGCTACATAAGAAAGTTAATAACAACTTCCAGAAAGCCAGCAAAGTGGCTAATGAATGAAAATGTATTGCAGCCATGCATCATGACCCACATGGTTGAAGGAGGGAACCAATTCCTGGAGCTTCTCCTCTGACATCTACACACATACACATATAAAAATTAAATAAATAAAAGGATGAATAAAAAGAATGACTTGCAGATAGCCTGGCCTATTAGCTCATGCCTATAACTCCAGCACTTGAGAGTGGGAGGCAGGAGGCTTGCCACAAGTCTGTGGGCACCCTGAACCCCATAGGAAGACCAGGCCAGCCACAGCTACCTAGCAAAATCCTGTTTCTCCACCTAGCCTCAGACCAAGAAACAACAAACCAAACATACAAAAAACCTCCCAGGTGGTATATCCAGGGTCAATGGATACATACATTGTTACAAAGCAAGGGTTCAAATTGGTAACTTGATTTCCTATGTGCCATTGCCATTTTCCACCCTGTGAAAAGAAAGACTCTTACCTTCTTTCACTGCTGAAGCTGCTGCTTTGGTCTTTATTTTAATGGAAGATATGGCCCAGGCTATCCTCAACTCACTATATAATGTAGGGTGACTTTGAACTCATGATACTCCTAGCTCTACCTCTTAAGTACTAAGATTACAGGCTTGTGACACCATACCTAGCCAGCCACTATTATTTTGAAACTGTCCAAGTATCAAGACTTTCTAGCCTACTGTGTAGATCTGATGGACTTTAACTAAGAACTGCAGAGTCTGATTATATGGAACTGGTATTTTGGGCATTCCCGCCATAAAAATCCATAAAATAGTCAGTTCTGCTTATCAGTTGGATAAATATTTAAGTATCCTCCTTAATATAGTCCCTCCATATTTTATAGGGAAAAACTTAGTTTATTCTTCATTGGAATCATGATTTTATTTTATGCTAACACATATTTGACTTATAGTAGCTCGGATGTGACTAACACACAATATTTCAATTTTTAAATTTTATCATCCTTTCCCAGATTAGCATTATGTATTGGATGCTGGTCAGGGACAGTGAGCCACCCAGTCACAAGGCTAGCAACCAGTATCTGCTTTGTATTGTGATGTTTGATAGATTATGTATGTTACACAGTTTTAACTTAAGAGGGGTTTGTTGAAACATGACCTTATCATAAGGTGAGGAATCAGGTACATAAATTAGATAGTCCTGAGAAGAATATTCAGAGGTCCTAATTACTAATTTTTATGTTCCAAGCATAAAGGAAGTCAGCTGCGTTATGCTCATTTTTTCTATGCATTTGGACTCCTGGATTAAGCTCCTCTGTAGGGGTGATGTGAACTGTTTAGAATGTAAAGATTAAAGTTTTTTGCCCAGTTGGTGGAAAGGAGATGGAATAGTAGTGGGAACATGGTCATTAACAAATGGGGTAAATTAAACTGAGGCATCCTTTCAAGTCAGTCAAGTTTACTGTTAACGTATTTGTGAATTACTTGCAAGGCTGAATTAGCCCACTGCCGGCATTAGTTATGACTAACAGAGTGGATCAGCAGCAGAATGATTTCTTAGTTGCACATTGGTTTTAGTTTTCTCATAGGACAGTGTTTGTAAGAAAATATAGTAGTGTGCATAGATTTGATAAATACTAAATTTTAAATTAAATTTAAAACTACATCTAGCATAATGGTTGAGATTTTACATACAAAATGTCATAAAAATCTAAATTATGGTTCCCATAATAGCAATAATTCAGCCAAATTGTACATGTGTATTAAGGTATTAAATTTAGCACTCTGTTGTGAGCATGTAATAAACTACATCTGCATAAGAACACAAGTTATGGGAGCCTTGGGAACCATCATTTGTATTTCCTGACTTACATTCCGAACCTGATTCAAGTGTTATGAATGCAACTGAGTTGACATTCCCCAGGAACTGACAACTTCACCAATCACTAACAGTTTAAAAGATAATGCTTATGAAACATTGTAAATGTTTAGTTATTATTGTGATTAATACTTTTAGAATTATTAAACATTCATTCTCAAGGAAACTTTGAGAGCATAAGTTTCCCAGTATTCCAGTTTTGAAGTTAGATATCTGAAGTTTGAGATGGTCCAGGCTGGCCTTGAACTCACTATGTAGCCAGTGATGATCCTTCTGCCTCCATCCTAAAAGTACTGGGATTAGAAGCATGTGCTACCTTGCCTAGCCTATATTTGAATTTTGAAAGGAAAAATTTACTAATGGGCTTGTTTTATTTTATTTGTTGCAGAAATATTACTGGAAAAAATATATTAGTAAAATATATTGAAACAACACTATCAAAAAGAGCAAAAGCAAAATTGGAAAATATATAAAGAAAAATTGAGTCTGAAAGAAATTACTTGACTAAAGCACTTTGTATTCAGAGCCAGTGTCTGTACTGCCTCCCTAGTCCCATGGAGATTATCTTGTTTATTCACTTTGTTGTCCTTGTAAGTACTTTGTGTGTAGGGTTAAAGCAGTTGACTATTGGGTTTTCTACCCTATTACTATGTGTGTGCTCATGCTTGTATGGTCTCTCTCCCTCTCTCCTCTCCTCTCCTCTCCTCTCCTCTCCTCTCCTCTCCTCTCCTCTCCTCTCCTCTCTTCTCCTTTTCCCTGTGTGTGCGTCTTAACATCTCATCAGCTTTTTGTTTTTATTAAATGTATCTGTTGAATCTCTTTATTAAATATTCCAAATAATGGAGGTTTCTGTTTCTGTTGCTGCAGCAAAGATTCATCCCTCTTTTAAACTTGTGTATAGTATCACTTTTCTTAGAGTCACCATGTTCACACACATACACCTCTACTTCATAGTGCCTTCAGGAGAGCTGCTTATCGCTTCATCTCCTTAGACAGGCCCTGATCCTCACTCTCCAGCATAACCACACAATCTCGCTCTTCATTGCATCTTTACCATCACTATACAAGTGTGATCTTCTCCTCCCTCAAATAACCCGTAGTCGTTTTAAAGAAACTGCTCAATGAGACCAGTCCAGGCTGCCCTATTCAGAATTCCAAGCCCGCTCCCCCCAGTACTCCTAATTTCCTTACCCGAATCTGCTATTTCATTCAAAGCACCTTTGATCTGCTAACATACTAATAAGTCATCTACAGTGAATACTGTTTAGTCAGTCTGTCACTGGGATCTAAGCATCACAAGCACACAGGTTCTCAGCAGCTTTTTTGGAATGGGCAAATGCAGCACTGATGCCAGGTATTTTGGAAACAGCAAGTGATGGATCCAGCACTGAAGCAGTTTATGGAAGAGAGTTTGGTTTCAGTGAAGCGTTTCACATTCTTCATCTGCCAATCCGCTCTTCATTTCATGACCATATATTACTCACTTATATTTGTATATGTGCAGGTATTATGCAAGACCTTTATAAGATAGATATGAAAATTAACCTGGAAGCTTTTTTGTTGTCTTTTTGGTTTTGTTTCTTTTGAGACAGAGTCTTACTGTGTAGCCGTGGCTGGCTTAGAACTCACTATAAAGATCAGGCTGGCTTTGAAATCACAGTGCTATTTCCCAAGTGCTGGGATTAAAGGAGTGCACTACCACATCTAACCAGAAAGCTTGAACATATAAACAGTCCTTGAGTACAAACAGTTACAGTTGATTAATCTGTATCTTTCTGTTACTTATTCAGTTATCTGGAGCATGTTGCTATATTTTCGTATTTAAACAGCAATCATCTCTAATACATATTTCTTTCTCTCTGAGCAGAGCATGTGACCGACTGCGTTGCGTAGCCTGTGACTTCCGGATAGTGAGCTACAATGACTATATGTGGGACAAGTCATGTGATTATCTGTTCTTCAGGTATGTTTCTGAAGAGTTTCACCCTGTGAAAAATTACCAAGGGCTTTTCATTCCTTGGGTGTTTGTGTGTTTTGTTTATTGGTCTACTTGCCCAGTCACGTGGTCTCTGACTCTCACCCTCCTCATCTCTTTGAATCTGTTTGCTGTCAGCTGCATAAGGATATGTTTCTGAGTGAGAATACAGAAGTAGCCCAGGACCTCCTTGTTCAGACCATTCTTCACATCCTCACTCACTATCACAGCAGAGCTCTGAGGATGGTGTTATCCTGCCCAGGCTTCTTCTGCATTCAGATGTCATCTTCAAGGCCCTCCATTATTCAACTTCTCTTCAACCTTGTCTTCCCACAGTGGGCTCCACCTTCATTTTAGCTGCGCCACAGTCTTTGGTACCTCATTTGCAGGTTCCGTCTCCTGATACATCTTACCCCATTTCTCTCCCCAAACCCTGCCTGTCCTTCCAAGTGTACTTCATCATGCATCCTGCCTTCTTCAATCATCACTCTGTTTGAAACTCACTTGTGCACTTGTGTGTATACAACAGAAAATAAGCAGACACATGGAAAAATATTATTGCAGAAGTTTCACAGTCCTAACCAAAAATCGTCTACTGTAGTGCCAAAATCCTAAGTTCAACCACCTACTCTCAGCTTCAACCATTTTTACTCTCACAGTTGGAAAATTAACTTTAAATTTCAGACCCCTTTGGGTTTTATTTGGTTGGTTGGTTGGTTGGTTGGTTGGTTGGTTGGTTTGGTTTTTGGTTTTTGGTTTTTGGTTTTTGGTTTTTGGTTTTTGGTTTGGTTCCGTTTTTTGGTTTTTGGGTTTGGTTTGTGTTTTACTATTCACTATCTCATGGTTAATCTAACAAAGTGACTAAGCAATTCTCATAATTCACCAACATAGACATGAATTTTTATAAGACTAGCTAGTGAGACTAGATAGTGAGATGTGTATAACATGGAAACAGTAGCAAGCACAGGTACAGACTAAGTGTGTAAGTGATTGACTTGGTACATGAGAAACATACAGAGTCTCTGTCTTCCAGAATGGCAGATGTGGTGGTCCACACTGGAAACTGAGGACAGTGAGTTCAAGACCAGATCTTATTACAAGAGAAAAAAGGCACCAGTTAGTTTCCTGTAGATGGTTGATAGTCTCATTTTAGGATATAGTTTACCAAAATTAGTGATTACTAGAATTATTACACTGTTAAAACTAAATTAGTGGTTATTAAGTAAATCAGTGAAAAATACAAGCTGAGCCCTGGAGATACATAAGAATATGTTTAAAAGACAGGAGATTAACAATAAGGAATATGGCTATCTCAACCAAGATGCAAGTGACTGATGCATCTGTTTCATGTAAGTCCTTAGCATTTCTTTATCCAATTGGCTTTCTTCAACACCTTGTTGGCCACTCTTAGAAACTGGGCTCAGAAGGTGAAGAGCATCCAGTTCCTGCTCTAGGACGCACAGTTCTGAAAGGGAGACAGCGTAGAGAATATCACACTGAATGTGGTGGTAGAGCTAGAGGAAAGAGAAGGTGGATACGCTTCACCTCCAGCACCCAGAAAGGCCTGGTTATTCTGAGGTGGAATTTGAATCAGGACCTCATGCATGCTAGTCAAGAATTCTGAATGGAGTTACGTTTCTAGCACTTAAGGAGTAATTTTAAAGACATTGAGAAAAGTGAAGTCAGATGGCATGAGTGGAGAGTCAGAAGTACTTTGAACAAGAGCAAGAGATGACAAGAGCTGAAGTAGTATAGACAAGTTAAAAGGGCCTGAGAAAACCTGGGCAACAGTGGCACATACTGTTAATCCTAGCACTTGGGAGGTAGAGGCAGAGGCAGGTGGATCTCTTGAGTTCAAGGCCAGCCTGGTCTACAGAGCGGTTTCCAGGATTTCCAGGACTACACTGAGAAACCGTCTCAAAAACAACTTTCAAAAAGGCTTAGGATGGCAGTAGTAAGGAGCTTAAATTTAGTCCTTTCAATGTTGGGCTCCCAGTTGAATGCTTTTAATTTAGAGAGAGGCCTATTCAGATTTTAATTCTAACAGTAAGTATAGCTCTGGCTGACCTGGAACCTACTTAGCAGACCAAGCTGTCCTTGAACTTGTAGCATCTTCCTGCCTGTTTTCTGGGTGCTAGGTTTACAACCACTCAATTCCACTCTCGGCTTTTAAAGGGTAACAGACTGCCATATCAGGGAAGCAGGCCAGTGGAGAATTATAAGAATTAATGAAGGAGTGTTACAGTAATCCAGGAATAAAATGTTATGAATCACAGCAATAAGAAAGGCAGAAAGAAGCAGATGAACCAGAGAGATATTTTAGACATAATTCTGGCTGTGGAATGCAAGAGGCAGTTAGCATTTTAGGATGTCTTACTAGGCTTCTTGATTCACACAGTGCTAGTACCCTTTTAAAGGAAGAAACTAGACATTGGGTTCCACAGACTATTAAAGCTCTCTGAAGATCCAGGAGGATTCACAGTTGAAGCCATGAGATCGGATGTTATTTTCCCAGAGGGCAGCTTGGAAGAAGCCAATGCCGATTAGCAGCTGTTTTGTTAAAATGTTCTGGGCTTATATGTTAAAGGGAAGGATAGATACGTCAGGGCTATTTGAACAGAAGGGCTCTGAATACTGATGAGAAAGGAGTTGATGCAGGAAGAGATACTTGTTAATAGCAGTCTTCTAGAAGTGACTGTTGTGAAGACCTACTGATGTCACTAGTCCGAGATGACAGATAAGGGAACAGAATGGGAGGCGAGGAGGCTCACTCCTACCTCAGATACTCACTTGTGCCACAGAGGCCTATGCAAGTGGCGGAAAGGCAGTGGGCTTCTAATGCATTAGCTGTAGCACACTTAATGTTACTGGGAAAACGAGTCTGTTAGTTCTCTATGTTGAACATTGGCACCTCCTCTGTGTCAGAGAGGGAGCAGTAAGACACTTGGTAGGGTCATGAGTGCTCACTAGGAAAATGAAGATGCCTCATCTAAAAATGGTCCCATTTTTAGAGTTAGAATGTGGTCTGCTGAAATTAAAGAGTAGAGAGTAGATGAAACACAAAGAACCCAGGGACTGACTCCCTGTGGGAAAGCAGGGTGGTTAGTGAATAGAAGGTTTCATAGTTCGTCAGATGTTCCACAGAGCATAGCAAGCATGTGTGCTGTGTGGTGTCAGGTGTGTCCTGGTTCTGTGGATGCTGTACAGTTGCTTCACTGTGTTATTTTACAAGTCAGGAATAAACATGTGATAACTTTCACATACTATAGACCTTTGTAAAGGAAACATAAGCTAGATTTACTGAGCAACCTATCTATATAGCTTACTAAAATTCTTGTATTTGTCTATTAAATTATATGTTCTCCTTAAAAGAAAATAATGGCCGAATTTATTTTCTAAGCTTTTAAAATAAGTGCTCCTTAAAAAAATTTCTTTAAAGGTTCTATTGATTCACCTGATATTCATGATTCCTATTTCTAAAATATCTAGTCAGTCAAATAGCAATTGCTAAGTTTAGGAAAATACTGAATTTAGCAGGTTGAATAAAGGGTGTATTACCTTCTTTCATTAACTTCGTTTTTCTGGGCTCATTTTTTATTCTAATAAACTAGATTATCGTATTCTTTTCCCAGTTCTCCATAACCCTAGATAGGTCATTAATGGCCAGGGTGCCACTTTCCTAAACTCAGATAGTTGCCCAGAAACTCTAGGGTTTTGTAAGTTCTCACCATCTAAAGGTGCCTGAATTTGCACACTGCAATAGAGAATGTGATACACATTGACCACTAGAGGGCACTTTGGAAACTGCCTTCTGAAGATACCAATAAGTAATGGATCTTGGGCATCACACCTCTTTAACATATACACCAAATTTCACTGTTTCTCTTTGCTTTGTTTTGTTTTGTTTTGTTTTGTTTGTTTTGTTTTGCTTTGTTTTTTGAGACAGGGTTTCTCTGTGTAGCCCTGGCTGTCCTGGAACTCACTCTGTAGACCAGGCTGGCCTCGAACTCAGAAATCCGCCTGCTTCTGCCTCCCAAATGCTAGGATTAAAGGCGTACGCCACCACCACCCGGCTTGTTTTGTTTTTTTGTTTGTTTGTTTGTTTGTTTTGTTTTCCCAGCATTTTACTTTTAGAATATCTAGTTTTATTTTCTAAAGATAAGTCATAAAGATTATAATTGATTTTCGTTTAGTTACTAAACTCATAGTAACTTCTATATCAGTATAATGCAAGCAAACCCAATGGTTATCATTTTAATGATTGTCTTACCCATTACTTTGTTAATTTTTTACATCATTTATACTTTAGGATAGGTATTTTGTTGCTGATAGAATAAATAAGCAGATCATTTATACAAATGAAAGAAAACCTGAGTTTATCTTAGAGAACTAACACACTCGTTTTCCCAGTAATAGAAGTGTGCTACAGCTAATGCATTAAAAACTCACTGCCTTTCTGCCACTTGCATAGGCCTCTGTGGCACAAGTGAGTATCTGAGGTAGGAGTGAGCCTCCTCGCCTCCCATTCTGTTCCCATAACTGTCATCTCAGACTGGTGACATCAGTAGGTCTTCAGAACAGTCACTTCTAGAAGATTGCCATTAACAAGTCAGAGAAACACTGTCAGAAACAGACACCTAAGGATGTCTCCTGCTGCTGGTGTAAATAGATCAGGTTCTTGTGAGTCCTGAGTTTTAGTCGAAGAGGCTGCAGGAAACTAACTAAACAGAACATTTTTTTTCTTTTGCATTATTAAACACTAAACACGGACACTATGCTTAAGCCTGTCTGTTTCACCACAGAAACAACATGCCAGAATTCCACAAACTCAAAACAAAGCTGATCGAGAAGAAAGGAGCACGGGCGTATGCCTGCCAGTGTAGCTGGAGAACTATTGAAGAACTCACTGACCTGCAGACAGATCATCAGCTTCGCTGGGTTTGTGGTAAACACTGAGAATACAGACCGTTCACATTCCAATAGCCACACCGGTGAGAACAAGTTCCATGGACCAAACTTGAGTACCAGTACATAGCAGTATTGTGCTCTTTGGGAAAAGGCAACAAGTTTTGTGTAACTACACACATTTGTGAAGACCAAATGGACTGGGAAAGACATATGTACTGTAATACCTTGGCATTTTTCCTTGTGACATGGACATTTTACTTAGTAGGTTAAAATATCTGCATTCACCAACCTGTCTCCTTTTAGGGATTGAAATTGTGACATTTCATGCAGATTTACAGCTTTTCCATAGCAACTGTCGTAGTGACTGCTAAAACGTTCCTCATGTATCATTGTTGTTAAAGAATACCCACTGGCAACGCAGAGAGGTCATTGTATATGAGTGTTCATGGCTCTTTCTATTCTGACCCATCATTATCAGAGACTATAAGTTGAACATGACAAAAAAGCAGATGGCCATTGGTTAGCTGAGAGGTTGTCAAGAGTACAGGAACACTGTAACCCGGCCTTATATGTTTCTCATCCTGCCTCACCAACTCAATTCAGTATTATGTATAATAGTAATAGTAATAATGTTGTTACCAGTTTTAGCATATTCCCTCCTTTGCTCATTGAAATATCAAAAAGTTGTTTAGTTTTCTATTAGCAAACATCTATTTATATATATGAGATTTTTGATGCAACTAAAGTAACTAAAATCCTACAAATATGTCATTGTTGAACTTTTCAAGTATACTCCATGACTCTAAATGAGCAGCAGTAAGATGATTTTCAGACAGCCTGAGGACTCTCTATCACGTTGGTCCGTTCTTTATGGAAGCATAGAAAACCAATGGGTAGCCATTGGGCTCCCGTGATATCACTGAGATGGGCGGAACTGTATCATAGTAACATGTTCCAGAAATGCATTGCCTCAGTTTACCTCCCAGCCCCATAGATATTTCAGGGCTTTTTTAGTCTGCCAAAAGTCTATTCTGTGTGTCTACTTCCTGTGTGTATATTACTTAAGTGTGTGACACAGGGCACTCTGAAAGTATATACATTTCAGCACAAATATGGTCTGCTTGGTTTTCTGTTAACTCCATTCTCATCACCAAGCAAAACCTCTGATCACTGAAAGCTTTTTCCTAGGCTAGGGGTCTAGCTTAGTGTTAGAGTGCTTGCATTGCATGCACAAGGCCCTACATTTATTCCAGTAGTACAAAAAAAAAAAAAAAAGACAGAGAGGCAAGCTTTTCCTGACCATGACGCAGTTATATACTTAAAACCTTTTAATTGAAGCAGAAGAGATCTCAAAGTGGCTGATGCTCACATTTTTGAATTAAGATATATTTACAATTTTTTTCTTTCAATAAACCTATTTACTCCTCAAATTTATGTTTCTGTGTAATTATGTAAGAAACTTAGACATTTTTGATTGACAGTGTGTATTCCCAAAAAATAACAGAGCAGTAGCATGCACATACGTACTCAGAAACTCACGAAGGTTGAGTGTAGCAGTGCATGTGTAATCCCAGCACCAGAGACGCTGAGGAAAAAAGATCATGAGTTCAAGGCCAACTTGGGCTACAAAATAAGACCATCCTAAAAAGGAGAGAGAGGAGGAGGGGGGGGCTATAAGCCATAAAGTGGTTTCTTTGTATTCCAGTATGTACATTTACTGAACCAGCAATTTGAAAATATTTTTTAGAACCAGGCATGGTGACTCAAGCAATTACCCTCAATGCTCAGAATACAGAGGCAAATGAATCTCTGAGTTTGAGGCAGATCTGCAGCATATGGGGAGAAGGGTAGGAAGGTATGGTGTTTTTAGTCTGTTATGCCTCTAGAGGGACAATATGGAAACTTGAACACATCACCCATTCTATACAGTCATAGTTTCAGTTCTCCAATGTCAGAAATGCATTTATCAGGTCACCAAGGCCTGATAACCTGAGTTCAATCCACAGCACCCACATAATACAGAAAACCAATTCCTGTAAATTGTCCTCTGATATCCATACAGCACTATTTCCTGAACGCAACATCCCCCCACACACACACATACACACTTACACTCTCACTCTCACACTCTCACTCTCACACATTCACTTTCTCTCTCGCTCTCTCCTTCCCTCCCTCCCTCCCTCTCTCTCTCTCTCGCTCTCTCTTTCTCTCCCCTCCCTCCCTCCCTCCCTCCCTGAATAAGTGTGGGGTTATTTTTAATTTTAGATCTGATTTTACTTAAGAATATTCTTGATGAAGGCAGTAAAAATGATTAACTTTGTTAATCTCAGTCCTCAAAGCACATTTTAATGTAACCTTTTTCTTAGAATTATTATTTTGTGTGCATGGGTGTTTTGCCTGCTTGCCATCTACTACTTTTGGGTGTGATTTCTTTTTGCTCTAGAGATTTCAGGAGTGCTCTTAGGTTGCGAGTGTGTTTCTTTATATAGGCACTCAGTGCTGTGGATTACCACTCTGAGCCACCTGCATTGTCCTGTAAGTCTGGATATGTTTTCACTTTCATTCAGTTCTAGAAAGTCTTTCATTTCTTTCCTACTTTCTATCTTGACCTGTTTTTCACTCAGTAGTGAGTTCAGTTTCTATGACTTTGTAAGCTTTCTGTTGATGTTGATATCCAGTTTTAATTGATGGTAGTCAGAGAGTATACAGGGTGTTATTTTAATTCTCTTGTATCTGTTGAGACTTGATCTGTATCTGAGTATATGGTCAGTTTTGGAGAATGTTCCATGAGGTGCTGAGAAGCTGTTATATTGTGTTTGGGTGATATGTTCTATAAATATTTGTTAGGTCCATTTGTTTCATGATGTCAGTTAGCTTGAGCATTGCTCTGTTTAGTTTTGTCTGGATGGCTTGTCCGTCAGTGTGAGTGGGGTACTGAAGTCTCCACTGTCAGTGTGATTCATTGTGTGGTTTAAGCTGTGGTAGTGTTTATTTTATGAACTTGGGTACCTTGGTTTTGGTGCACAAATGTTAAGAATTACCATGTCTTCATAGTGAATTTTTCCTTTGACGAGTATATAGTGTCCTTCCCTATCTTCTGATATTTCAACAGATATAAAAATGACTACAACAGCTTGCTTCTTAGGTCCATTTGCTTGGAATATCTTTTTCCATTCTTTTACCCTGAGGTGATGTCTATCCTTGATGTTAAAATGTGTTTCTTGGATGTAGTAGAAGGGATGGATTCTGTTTTCACATCCATTCTGTTAGTCTATATCTTTTTTATTAGGGGATTAAGTCTACTGTTGTTGAAATATATCAATAAGCAAGTATTTATTGATTCTTACTTGTTGGTGATGGCTGTGTGTGTGTGTGTGTGTGTGTATGTGTGTGTATGTTTGTGTGTGTTTGTGTGTGTGTATTCCTTCTCTTTTGATTTTGCTGGTCTGGGATTATTTTATCCCCTGTTTTTTCCTGGGTATGTTAACCTCTTTGGGTTAGAGTTTTCCTTCTGACACATTCTATAGGGCTGCATTTGTAGATATATATTGCTTAAATTTGATTTTATCATAGAATGTCTTATTCTCTCCATCTATGATAATTGAAATTCATGCTGGGTATAGTAGTCTAGGCTGGCATCTGTGGTCTCTTAGTGTTGAGGTAATTATTTAAAAAATGGAGGCTCCCAATCTTGCTTGTTCTTTATCAGCCGCCATCTTCCCAACTAGCCTAGGCCTGAGAATACAACGCCACCACTAAGCTCAGACCACTGGCTCAGGCCACTGACTCAAGCAGCCAGAGACACTGGCCCTGCCACCCATGAAATGCCAGCGTGGGAGATGGCTCTGCCAATCTTCTACGCTGTCTCCACAAGGATGGGCTGAGCCCAGACCATCCTGCCATCCACATGGTACCTAGTAAAAATGAGACTCTAATGCTTAAAGATTAACCAAAGGCTGTATAAGTTTGGTAATGCTCAAATTAACAAGATGCCCACACAATTGGAGGTGTTTCCCAGTTAACTAACCTAGATATAAGTTGTTACCCAGGACTGCTCTCAATCCATGCGTGGTTCTCCATCGCTCCTACATCTCTGCCTCTTAGCTCCTCCTCTTCCTTCTCCTCTTCCTCTCCTTACTCCTCCCACCTTAGCTCCTCCCAACTTGCAGGGAAAATATGCCGCTACATCTTAGGATCTCTAGAACATTCTTTCAGGCCCTTCTGGCTTTTAGGTGTAATTCTAATAGGTCTGCCTTCATATGTTACTTGGTCTTTTTCCCTTGCAACATTTAATATTCTTTCTTTGTTCTGTGTGTTTAGTGTTTTGATTGTTATATGCCAAGGGGACTTTCTTTTCTTGTGTAGTATTATTTGGTGTTCTGTATTTTTCTTGTACTTTGGGTAGGCATATCCTTTCGGTTAAGCAAATTTTCTTCCATTATTGCATTGAAAATATTTTCTGTGCCTTTCGCCTATGTTTCTTCTCCTGCCTCTATTCCTATTATTCTTAGATTTGGTCTTTTCAAAGTATCCCAGATTTCCTGGATGTTTTGTGCTATGAATTTTTTGGATTTAACATTTTCTTTGATCTAAGTATCCTTTTCTTCTATCTTTTCTTCAATGACTGTCATTCTCTCTTATATCCTGTTGTTGATGCTTACCTCTGAGGGTCCTGTTTGAGCTGCATTTTTTCCCAGATTTCCTTCAGTTTGAGTTTTCATTGCTGATTCTATTTCTACTTTCAGGTGTTAAACTCCTTTATTCATTTCCTTCCACTGTTTGCGTTTTCATAGATTTCTTTAAGGGATTCATTCATTTCTTCTTTAAGGGCCTCTATTATATTCATAAAGGCTATTTCAAGGTCTTTTTCTTGTGCTTCAGCTATATTGAAATATTCAGGTCCTGCTGTGTGTAGTAGGGCTGCTGGACTCTAGTGGAGAAATATTGTCCTGGCTGTTATTGTGGGTTTTTTTCACCAGCATCTCAGCATCTGGGTTTGGGAAGATTGTAATTCTAGGTGCTGATATCTGGTCTTGTCTTTGTTGGGTAGGTATTTTGTTCCCTGGGTTTCGTTGCCCTCTCTGGCCCTTAGAAGAGTGGGGTGGTTGTGTGTTGCCTGGTAGGAAATTCTTCTGGGATCCAGATAGGTGTGGACACTGTTTTCCTGGTCAGAATCTTATTATTATATGTTTTAATTGATTTATAAAGGTAATCAAAGTTCTGGAGAAATTGCTAACAGTTGGAGTGATCAGGAACATTGAAGATGACTCAAATGAATTGTTTAGGTGAGATCTTGCTTCTGAAGATGTCATTAACTTAACCACCAGACTTGGAAGTTGCCACAAGTGCCTAACCTGTATGATCAGTCTGCTGTGGAATTCTGTGTTCTTCACAACATCCAAAAATCCTTGGAAACCAGTTCCAGCTCATATTTGTATTGAGGTAAAATAATTTTTAGAAACAGAAAACCAATAGGGAATATTTATCATTTAGAACTTTAGTCTTTATAATACAAGACACATTAGAATAAGATTATAATATCAGTTATATAAACCAGTCTCGTGCTGTGCAGTAAAGAACAACTGTTATGGGGCTGAGGCTTCAACTCAAGCTGTATGGCTCAATATTTGGTTTCCCTTCCGTTCTGAGCACTTACTAAGAAGAACCACTGTAATAAATGTTTGCCAGTCATCCCACTGCGCTTTCCTTCCATTTGTTGCCTTGGATCTAAGCAAGTATTCAACTAGTCTTCTAAACCCACTAATGGATGAACAGTGAAAACAAGTCACTTTAAGGCTTTTTATTAAACTGGAAACCCATATAGACATTTAATTTTGTAAATAAACATTCACCAAGAAGAACAAGACATGAGAAGTAAAGGGAAGGGATGAGAGAGAATACGCAGAGGTTGTGACTAATAAAATAGAAGGCAGTGTGAGCCCAAACTCCAGTCTAAAGATAGAGAGACATATCCATAGGAGAATGAAGGAGAGATCGTATGGAAGGAAATCCTCATGTATCCTCAGTTTTGAGTAATACAAAGAGAATTTACAGGTCTCAGAATTTGGGGAGTTGTAAGTATGCAAGTCTGTCTCTCTGTCTCTGTCTCTCTCTCTCACACACACACATACACACACACACACATACACATCCCTAACCTATAATTCTTTTAATTAGTATGTCTTTGAACTTCTCTCTCTTGATGGGTGACTTAGGAAATGCAGGTTCCATGAAGGTTTTATTACTTTTTGTACTTAACATGATCTCCCATCCACATTCACTCTATAATTATTTTACTGAAATGATCATTTGTAGAAACTTGCTTGGAATTCATGCCCTCAAGTTATCATGCTTTGAGGATAACAGTACCTAGTCCTAATGGAGATTGGTTGTTAAAACCCCATAATGTGTTATGTTAGCTAAATAC